CTGGGGGCCAGTTTTAGAGACATCAAAGTTTCTGAAAACATCCATATTCCTGATCGGCTCTACTTCTAGGAATATAAAGTAAGAAAACAGATATAAGTGGAAAGATGAAAAAACAAACAAAACCCCACAAAACACAGACATCCCAGTAAAACAGCAAAAAAAGGAAGCCATTTAAATGAAAATCAGTAGGATGCTCCTTAATTATATCACGAAAACATGAGAATTATGTAAGGGTTTAGAAAAATGATGAGGATCTTTCATGGAAAGAAGCTCATGTTTCACAGCACAGTGAAAAGGGCAAGCTATAGATTAATACTGTTAAAATTATGATAGTCGTATACCTATATGGAAGACTAAAGTCTAAAATGATACATAACAAAATGTTTACAGAAGCCATTTTTTATTGTGGCTGATTAGAAAAATGTTTTACTTCAGTGTACTTTTTAGTTTCTTCTTTTTTATGAACATAGTTTTACCAATAAAAAATCTAATGATAAGTCTCTAGACAAATTTAAAGTGTTTTTCATATCCACAGCAAGAAAACAGCATTAAATAGTGCTAAGAACATATTAGAGGAATCAAAATATCTGGTGGTGTCCCAACCCTAATAGTTGTGTCACCTTGAACAAACACCTTAGGAGTTTACTCAACTGTAAAATGGTTGCCTAATCTATCTCACAATGCTGTTGTGAGGATCAAGTAAAATAATGGCTTGAAAAATGTAAAATACTATGAAAATAAATGATAGAATAATCAATATTATCACTTAAAGTAGTTAAACATAAAAATGTAGCCTTGCTGCCTGGCCAGTGTGGCTCACTTGGTTGAGCATCATTCGTGCACAGAAGGGTTGTGGTTGGCAGTTTAATTCCTAGTCAGGGCACATGCCCAGGTTGTGGGTTTGGTCCTGGTCGGGGTATGGGAGGCAACAGATTAATGCTTCTTTCTCCCTTTCAAATCAATAAAAACATTTAAAAAAAGGATCAGCCCTGCCAGCGCAGCACTGTGGTTGCGCATCGACCTATGATCCAGGAGATCACGGTCCGATTCCCGGTCAGGGCACATGCCCGGGTTGTGGGCTCGATATTTGGCAGGAGGCAGCAGATCAATGACTGACTCATCATTGATATTGCTCGCTCTCTCTCCCTTCCTCTCTCTCTGAAATCAATAAAAATATTTTTTAAAAAAGGATCACTTGTAACCCAACTTTAAAAAAAAAAAGAACCTGAAGTCTCCTATAAAAATACAAGTGTGTATATTTGGTAACACATTAAATTATTTTCTATTAATATCAAATTAAAAATTGGTTATTTGATTAGCTAGTGACTCATCTTGCAAGAAGAATGGAATAAAGGACCCATTCCTTTCTAAAATTTAAATTTTTTAAGGTCCAGGGGTTGAGAGGGTGAGGGCAGAAGGGATGGAGAGAGGAGTATGTGACCAGGCTGAGATCAGGAGATCTTCTAGAGCAAGAAGCCTGGTTACGAGGGTGACGGGGATGAATGAAGATGGAAAATGAAAAAGATCATCCTTGTCATCTTTACAACGTGTGTAGGACTAGTATGGCTCTAAAAAGTTATAGCAGTAACATACTTGCCAAAATAACGACTACATGTTTAGTTCACTGATAAACTATAACGTTGATTTTCTATTGAACAACCCACTTACATATTTTTGAAACAAGTATCATAGCATACAAATTTCCCCCAATAGGCATCTCTTTTATCTCCTTGTTATAGTGACAGAAAATAAAATTGAGGATTTTATTATTTCCCTCCTTTTCCCTCTCATATGGGGACATTCATCTAACAACACACCTCTTACCTCTCACTGTGGTACTAAGATAATTGTAAGAGTCTGTTTAAATCTACCCACCTGTCTTTTGTTTGGCTGCCTACCTGGGCCTTTTCCAAGCAGGCAGAAAATCTCCAATCAGGCTGTTATCACAACCAGAACGTAAGAGATTAGTGACCACGGAGAGCAGCAGAGTCAGTTTACATCCTTTCAGGCCAGATAATGATACCACCTCATGAGCAAGAACTCTGGGGCTCCCTGACCTTAATTTAGAAAACCTGCAGTTAATAATCACATTAAAGTTGGCTTCACATGCCAGGCAGCTTTTGTTTCCTATGTTGTTTTTACAATTCAAGTGTCCTCTGTGGTTATCAGTTATTTGCTGAAAGGCATATATTAACACTGAAAAAATTTAATCTACAGTAAAATAGGTCTTACAATTTAGGTATATCTGAGTTAAAATACACTTTGCATTAATTTTATTTACAGAGTTAATAACATTGCTTGTATTTATCTGGAGTAGAATTTAACAATTTAACTCATTAATTATGACAATTAATACACTGAAAACTCCTTTCTTAGTTGAGGAATTAAATGCGTTTTTCACTGTAATCTGTCAACCTAAATCAAGACTATAAAGATCCCACCAGGGCCACACTCTCACCCCTCCCCAAAAAGGTCAATTGTTTCTCAAAGGAAAGAGAACTAACCCTGCAGCTACAAATTTAGCAAGGAAAAGGGGTCAAAAAACAGATGTGTAGAGCTGGGGAGAATTGGTACAGGTGATCAGGTCAGTATGCAGAGGTTCCGAGGACAGCAAACTGAACTTGCCCTCTTTTTCATAATCAAATACTTAATGAAAACAAATTTAATTAACACCATAAGCCAAAAAGTGATCTTATAATGTGTGCCTAACGTTTAACATTGTAGTAAAGGAACCTATATTCGCCAAACTCATTTCAGCTGCGTCAATGTAATTTACTGTGTGTTCACTAAAATGAGTTATCTAAGCCTTCAGACACCTGTTCTCTTTTAGAGAGTAATTTACAGTTGTGTGTGTGCAGTTAGTGAAATGAAATGTACAGGCCAGCTACGGAGATGAAGCTCACAGAATGAAAATGTAGTGAGTCTATACATGTACTGAAATAGAGAAAAGTTACAATGGCATTTTTGGTGCCAAAAAGTTCAGGTATACTAAATATTGATATACTAAATACTGAACTAATACTTGGAGGAAAAGAAATCTCAAAAAGTCACATTTGCTACTTCCATGATAGGAGGAGAAATATCTATTACAGACATGGGATTAGTCTCCCTTCAGTTTTGGCAAAGAGAAAACTATGGCAGTTTCCAGAAGAGAAAAATTTGAAACATATGGAATGAATTTGCAGAAGTTTGAAAAGGTGTCTTTGCCTACAGGGAGACTGCTGCACTAAGACAGCTTTTGTAAATTATTAGATTTTCTAGATCTATGATATTAGCTAGCCATCTCAAACTTCTGTTGGTTACATCATGTATATTCTTGGCATTGAAACTTTCGTCTCTCTCCTCTTAAAAATATAGATTATAATGACAACAAATTAATTTGAAATACTGCTCTATTCAATATCCTAGCTGCCTTTGGCATTATTACTTGTAAGGTCTCATAGAAATATTAAAAAGTTAAAAGCAGTGCTGTCTTCAAAAGAGACACTAAATTAGTGAGCTATTATTTCTCATTAGGCAATTAACTAAAAATTTGAGCCCTATTAAGCCAATGTTTTCTAACTTTTTTCTTAATCATTATATTAACAGTGCTTAGCTGTTTAATTAGAGGGTCATGGTACTTAAAACATATCTTTATGGTTCTTTTCCAGTCACCTAAGATAACTGGTCTCCTCATAAACAGCAAAAAAAAAAAAAAAAAAAAAAAAAAAAA